TGGCAGTATTTTCCGCACGGCTCACTGGAGAGAGTGACGATGCCCTCTGGCTGCGGGGTGCTGCGGAGGTAGTTGTTGCAGAAGTCGGCCGACTCCAGCGCCAGGAAGAGAACGTTGCCCAGGAAGTAGCCGGCAGTCTGGCCTACGGTGTTGCACGTGCTGGCCCAGCCAATGTTGGCCCTGGGGGTGGACAGACACAGGACAAGCTTTAGTTAAACAGCGCTGCAAAGGAGAACGCAGACTTGACTACCCCTTCATGACCAAAAATAAGAGTTTTCCTCAGAACCCTCCCTACACATCAGAATTTAAGGACAAAAATCACAGTATTCAGAGCCCCAGTAGATTAATATAACCTAACAGACAGTTTTAGTTTTAGTAAGAGTTTTACGGCACTTGCAACACAATAAGGTCATATAAGTGCCGAAGATTACAGGTGTTACAAGAGAGTAACAAACACAAAAAAGGAGGGGAGATAAAGACAATAGATGTTTGATAGGAAAGAGGAAGAAAACCACACCAGAGCAACCGCCAACCAGCCACCCTAACAGACAGAGAATGGCAAAGAAACATGTATCACAAATGCAAATGTGTAATTCCACGCTATTTATGATTTGTCGCATAAATACTGCGGGCTAACCTATGATTACCTGGACAACATGGTCAGGGCCCATCCGTCCACAGCGATGTCCTGTGTGGCGGCCAGGAAGTTGAGGCAGATGAAGATGGCCGTGAGTAGAACGATGCTCACCTCCCCTGAGCCCGGACCGCCGCCGCTGTCCCCCAGCAGGGACTTGGCTTGGGTGGACAGGACCAGCATAAACAAACCTGGGGGTGGGAGCGACAACAGTGGGTCAGTATATTATGGGGAAACACAAACAGACTGACAAACAGAACCAGCATAACAAACCTGGGGGTGGGAGTAGCAACCACAGGTCAATACTAACATAGGAATAGACAGACAGACAGACATACAGGCAGACAGACAGACAGACAGACAGACAGACAGACAGACAGACACATACCCACACACATACCCACACACAGACAGGACCAGCATAAACAAACCTGGGGGTAGGAGCAACAACAGTGGGTCCGTATATGGGGACACACAAACAGACAGATAGACAGACAGACAGACAGACAGACAGACAGACAGACAGACAGACAGACAGACACATACCCACACACATACCCACACACAGACAGGACCAGCATAAACAAACCTGGGGGTAGGAGCAACAACAGTGGGTCCGTATATGGGGACACACAAACAGACAGACAGACAGACAGACAGACAGACAGACAGACAGACAGACA